CACGTAGAGGCCCGTTCTGACCTCAAGTGGGCCCATCCCAATCTGTAGAGGGCCCGTTATTGAATGTGGAGCAGTAACGCGGGCAAGGGTTGGGGGGGGGGGGGGGCACAGGGGGCACGTGCCCCCATTGGGTTCCGAGGGGCTTTTCGGGTCCCTCGGAACCTGCAGCCTACGATTTAGGACCCGATTTGAGTGCCCGAAAGGCCCAAAGGACCCGCCGGAGGTCGCATTCAGGAGCCCCGGCCCGCAGGACCGGGCACTCCAGTGCCAGCCAGATGGCCCTGATCGCTGAGGGCGCGTTGACCAGAGGCCCCTGAGTCGATAAGGGCCTATATGTCAGCCAGACACCACCAGGAACGCACAGTCTGCTCCGTGGCGGCACGGGCCTGAGGGCCTATTTTCCAAGCAGGGAGAAAGCCGGAACCAACGATTTGCGTTGGTCCGGGCCCTACAACCATTAACAGGGACCCTGTGATGGCAAAGGGCCCCGATTCGGCCGGAGACAGTATCGAGGATGCCCAAAAAGCCTAGAGGGCCCACCGGGTCCGGCGATCAAGGGCTCGATTGAAGGGTCTAAGGGCACAAAGGGCTGTTCGGAGTCTTATTTAGAGGCCCGGACCTGCGGAGACGGACCCACGAATAACGGTCAGAAGGCCCTTTCCTCCGACCACGGACCCCTGGGTCGGTATGGGCCTATATGTCGGCCAGGTACTGTCAGTACTGCCAGACGGCTCCGTGCCGGTACGGGCCTGGGGACCCACCTTCCAGTCAGGTATAAAGCCGGGGCCAGTGATCTGCTCTGGTCGGGGCGCCTGTGTCGGTCAGGGGCCACAGTGCCTACCAGAGGTTCTGTGGCAGCAAGTGGTCCCGAGTCGGAGTGGTGTTTGAGGGGACGAAGGGGGTACGAGGGGTCTCTCGAGACCAAAGATTAAGGACGCGATTGGATGGCTGAAAGGTCTGAAGGGCTAGCTGTAGGTCACATTAAGGAACCCCGCCCATGGCGCCGTGATCTCAAATGTCAGTAAAATAATTTCTGGTACCGATAGGGACCCCTGATACAGAGCGTTTCTCTATTTCAGCCAGAGATCACCAACAACGAACAATGGGCTCCGTGGCGGTCTGAGCTCTGGGGGCTCATTTTCCAAGCAGGGACAAGGCCAGACCCCCGATTTATATCCGTCTGTCTCCTGTATCGTTCAGGGGCCCACGGTACCTGACAGGGCATTCTGTGTCAACAAGGGGACTCGGATCGGTCAGGGGAAGATTTGCCGAACAGGGGCGTGGACGGGAGCCCAAATAACTCAGAGTCTCTTGCGTTGGTTCGGGGCCTCCTGACAATTAAAAGAAACATAACTTGTGATGAGTGCTCACATTAGAAGGGTCCTGTGCCAGACAGGGCCCCAATATCAAAGAGTGGGCCCTCCAGCCCAATTGCAGAATGGGCCCGTTAAGCCGAACTGGAGTCTTTGTGTCGAGTATTTGACCACCTGCGGCGATGGCGGTTCATGTGTTTATCCGGGGTCAACTACGCGGGTCAACTGCGCGGATAAACCGATGGCGGTTTATCCGGGGTCAACCGCGCGGGTCAGAAGGCCTCCCGCGGCAGAGAGCACTGTGATATGAGATATCTCTCTAAGTGGCTTCGGATCGGCCGGGGGATCGCGCAACGAAGACCATCGCAAAGTGATGTTTCCGATTTTTTTTCAAAATCAAGCCGTACGGTTCAAAGATTATACTGAGCGAATCATTTTTATTTTACAATTCTGTGGTTGTCCTCTGGACAGCTTAAAAACTCCAGGACTACTTCGCAGTACTGTTTGTTATTACCATCAATCTAAAAATCGCATAGGTGAAATATACGCCCTGCATATCTATACACGTACAATTGTTGTGCCCTAAAGCGTTCAAAGGTACTTATTTCAGATGCATCATCATTGTCGTCCTCTGTTGGCTACGGCCTAGTGTTGGCCACGGGGCCGGCGCCGCGTGGCTTCCGGAGAATACAACACCCGGCGTCGAGGTTTTTGTTGCTAAGATATGCGGGCGCGCTTTCTCAAAATTACGTCTCACAGTTTGTATCACTAATCACGATTCTGGCTTAATGTTGAACATATCCAGACATACAGGGCCTAACCATATTAAGCAAACTGAACTATTTTATCTACAAGCTACATTTGCGGGGCTCTTGATAGCCCGGCACAACCCAGATAATATTCCGACCAAGTTTCTGCGTTCTATATCGGTTTAAGAGAGGTCCAATGGGCTATTGTAGAACGAGCGCCATGGATTTATTTCATGCAGTCACAACGCACGGCTTTTTCAGCTCACTGGCTATATAAACTTCAGGCAGAATTGATCTCGCGGTAGCGGCCGCCCTTCATTGCAGTCACAGAAGGTAAACATTGTGATATATATATATATATATATATATATATATATATATATATATACACTCCATAGTCCATATAGGCATAGGAACGCTTTCAAAAAGTGGGGGAAGGCAAACTCAGGGTGTACTTCAGGAACTTTTTCTGGAAAGTGAGCCCGATGACCGGGGGAAGGGGGAGGGGAAGGGATAGAGGTTGTTATTGCTCTTTGTTCAAATGTCATGGCTGCTATGCTAGTTATGCCTCTAGAGCTGTTTATCACTGGTGCACAATCTTGCCTGTTCGACTCATCTGTTATTTGGCAAATAAGGCTATCCGGCTTCCCTAGATTATTCGCCCATTTTAACATTGCCTTTCCTGGGAAGGCGAAATTGCACGAGCGGGTAGGCATTTCGGGTCATTGAGGAGGTATCTGCCTCCACAGTGTAGATGCCAAAATACGGCCTGGATAAAGGCTGGTGAGAAGTTTGAAAGTGGATCGAAGGCTCACAGTGCGACAGATTTTTCATGCGCCTTCATTTCGCTGACTGCTTTTCAAGAGGTAAGGCTTATCGCAACATTTTAGGCGGAAACAACTTCGGGAGCTTGAAACTGCTAGAAACAATGTACAAGAGCCATACAACTGGAAATTTTCTTTTAAGAATCAAGTCACATAATAAGACCCATCAGTCATATGTTCCTTATCTGGGCCCTGCTCCTGTCCGCCGTCGGTGGCCACTGCCCTGGCCCAGATGTCTCCCGCATGACTGACTGCGAACTGATCGCATGGCTGCTTTGTTGCACACGTTTGGACCAGCGTTACTACTACATGGTGCATGAAACACGTGTTGGACACCTGCATCAGTATCTTTTCCGAATTATCTTCCCTCACACCACACCATGGCAGCAAAATAGCCTCCGGGAAGCTGTCTGCCTTAGGCATGAATTGGCCCAACGGACACTTGTGACACACACACACACACACACACCACACAAGTGACACGGTTTTCTTTATTTTATTGTTATTTTTACCTTGTAACCACAACAGAAACCAGGAGCTACCGTGAGCTCAATTCTGTTTGCATTTTGAGGTCAATAGATTGCTGAAATCAGACGTTGAACGACTGCATGGAAGACATCACCGGCGTTCTTAATTTACAATGTTTAGTTGACTCTTCTAAACCGATAGAATTCAGAAGCTTTGTCAATTTTTTTCTGGGCTCTACAGGCATTGAGGACATTGCGAAGGTAGATTATAGATCGATATGTTTGATCCAGATTTGAAGACGAAAATTTGATTGCAGGTCGAGTGGTCAACAATGTGTATTAACATGGCCAAGCCAGGTTTATCTGAAGATGTTCACCATTCAGTCAGAATCGATGAGTGATACAATTTATGTAACGTGTTTTTTTAACCCAGCAGCTAATATTAAGTCGTGGCCAACAGGTGGACGAAAATGACGACGCTTCTGAAAAAGTATCCTTGGACGCTTCATGATATCAGATTTCGTATTTAGAAGGCAGTCTGAGCGCACATTTCACGCAATTTGTAGACTGATGAAAAGAACGGATCAGGCCCCTAAAACACCGCGAAGTGGGGCTGGAATCTGGTGGTTAAACTGGAAGAGTGAACGCAAAATATACATTTTTTCGTGTTTTCGCAGCTATTTATCTGTCCAGAAGACAGATTAACAAGGCACCAGCCACCTGGTGGCACTTGCAGTGGCCGAAGCTTTTCGGTTTTACGGAAGCTGCAACTCAGACCATCCTTGTCCTTGCTCTCGAGTTTGCGGGCGGGCATGTTCAAGCTTTTTGATATCATTTGTTTCAATGAAACATTCTGAAAAGATTTGAACGTTCTCAGGCAAACATAGCATGACCTTGCTCGTTTTTCAAATCTATTTCACCAGTGCCATTCAACAATAATGAGAGCCCCACTCTAATCAACAATAGTTATACCCCTTGCTTCCTTCTGGCTTCCCTCTTGAGTAGAACACCAGAGGTACTTACCGTTTCCGATCAAGGGCTGAAGGGCCATTCCGTCCCATCGCGAAGTTTCTTCTGGCTATCACTCTGGTGGCACGGGGCGGGATCTCCTGGTCGATCCGGAGGCCATTATAAGGATATATCCTATCACGTTGTTCCCATCCCTGACACGAGAGGCTTTTTGACCCGCGCAATTAGCCCCAGATCAGTACAAGAACCCTCATTGACACAACAACATCCCTGATCACCGCAGGCAGTCCGTGTTGTCACATAGACTCCTGTTCCGTGGTTTTCTGTGCTGTTCAGAGATATTAAGTTCTCCCTGACTGTAGATTGAAGATGAAATAGGGTTCCTAATTGTATTAACATGGCTAACCCATGTTCGTATTAAAATGCGCAAGATCCTGTCAAAGTTGATTACTGAAGACAACTATGTAATATGGTGTTGAACAAGCGTGCTGGCAAGTCATAGCAATAACAGCCTCGACGCCCGGCGTTGCAGTCTCCATGCCATGCGGAGACATGCCGTCATGTCTGATGCGTGCCTAATTGTGTTCGCTTGTGGAACATTCCCGGGGGGAGGGGGGTCCCAGTGAACGAAATATACGCGTCGACCACGAAGCTGTAATTTACTTACGTCGTCCGTTAAGGTTACTGCTTCATTAGTGGCGCGGCGTAGGCAAACGAGGGACATGCAAGGTTGATGCGCGCGGAGCGTGGCTTACATACGGCTTTAAGCTGTCGGGTAGAGCGTCTGGGCGATTTGTCAGTGCCAAACAGTGCTGCGACGATATACTGGTATATTTTGAGCGTGTGTTGCATTCCATTTTCTGTTGATTTCTTCACAGAAGGCAATGAATTGACTTTTACTGGCTGTAACTTGGTGTGGTGCTGATAAGTGCGGATTTTTGTCTTTGACTTTGTTCACCTTAAATGACCAGCCTCATGATGGAACTTATTTCCCGTCAAACCGTCTGTTGTGTTTTGCGTCAACACACCAGGCCTTATCCATGGACACATGTAAGTAATGAATTAGCACATTATTATGTACTTTGTATTATCCCCCGTAATTAGTCAAGTCAGTTGTTACCAACAGAATCTTTTGGGGCCAGTCATTCCTGTGGCTGGTGGGCAATGACTATCACAGTGCTGGATCCAATCAGTCAGAGTGTTTCATTGCATTGGATCATGCTGCTCACCATTAACTTCCCTGATGGTCATGTGAAAGGAACATATAATGTGTCTGGTATATGCATTGTCTTGGTTATTGAAGCATTGCAGCTGACTGTATGCCTCATATAGGCGACCTCATGACAGGATGTTGTTTCGCCTGTTTGGCATAGGGAATGCATGTCATGCACCACAGCACGCTGCCAGTCATCTCAGTACCAAAAATGATGCAACAGAAACAGGCAAATAAGAAGAAGGCTGAAGAGAAAGCCAGGCATGCAAAACATCTTCAACAAATTAGGGAAGATTCAAGGAAGGGAAAGAGAGAGGTGGGGATGTGCATGTAACTTGGCTTCACAATTATGCATGCTGTTAATACAATGATGGTCAGTGATGTAATGATCTGGTGTTGACATTGTTAATAAACCTCTTCCAAACTGCCATGAGCATGTGACAGCCCAGGGTAGGTAGGAACAGATGACAATTTGTAGCACACCTAAGATGAGTGACTTTCATGTTGTCTAGATGAAAAGCTCAAGATGTGCCTCTGAAATCCCCAAGCATCATGATGAGATAGATAACTGATCTTAATGATTTAATTAGTCTGTGAGCTTATGGCCTTCACAGCTTAGTGTAGGGCAGCATACAAAAAGAGGGCAACAAAGGAGTCATTGCAACTCATAGAATGTAGTACGGTATCATAACACTGGATCCAAATAATTGTACAAAGCTTGGTGTTAAAAAATTGGCTGCTGTATGGATGTGGGCCACCATGTCTAGTAACCCCATGATTCAACTCAATCTATTTTTCAGGTCTGCATTGTTCGCTGCAAGAATCACCAACTGAATCACTACCAGGGCCAAAGCTATGACAGGACCAAGGGAGTGCGACTGGCATCCTGTGGCTGGAGGCACAGCCGAGCCAAGGGTGACCACTTCACTATCTGTAGCAGAGAGGGTTCGGTAAGGGCCCAGTGCACTGGTGATTATTGAATCTGCTGGCACAACCTTAGACAATTCATCAGAGACATCACTTAGTACATTTTCATCATGTAAATCAGTTCATGTCTAAACCAGCCTAAATGCTATGTGTTTTTAAACATGCTGTGTGGAATCAAGATCAGTATAGTTGTGACTTTACTCACCATGACCTGACCCAGTCTCTGCCACATGGTCCCTCATGGTGGCCTAACCCTGATCTCTGCAATATGGTCTCTCATGGTGGCCTAACCCTGGTCTCTGCCACATGGTCTCTCATGGTGACCTAACCCTGGTCTCTGCCACACGGTCTCTCATAGCGACCTGACCATGGTCTCCACCATAGGGTCTCTCCATGTGGCCGACCTCGGACAGTGAGACGCAGCCGCTGACCTTCTCAGACCTGCAGCTCCACCCTGACATCGTGGCCAACCTGCGGCTGCAAGGTGTCGTCACGCCCACTGAGATCCAGGTGCGCTCCCGCTGCGCCGACACGGCTCGGGCGGCGTCGGGGTGGCACACACGGCCAAGGTTTTGTCCGTGCGACGATGGCAGGGAGGCTCATAGGCTGAGATGTAGAGGTTCATGGAGTTCAGCAGCTCATAGAGGTCAGCAGCACAGCAGCATACAGGTTTGCCTGGGAGGTATGGCCATTGTTTGTCCTGTGCACGTCACTGATGTCAATTGTGGCCCCTTGCACACTGCGTGCCCCCCCCCCCGCCCCTAGTCACCCCAGGCATACTTCGTCACTTATCTTGATGGTCGTGTCTTACGGTCCCGTTTTTGCGTCCCTGGTTACCGCTACCGACCGCTAGCTCTGGCCCACTGCGCGCCCCTGTAAGAAGGGCCGGCGTCCGAACGCTCTGACCGGCTGTGTGCCGGCGGCAGCGCCGCGCCATCCCCCGCCTGCTGGACGGCTGCGGCGCGCTACTGGCCGCCGAGACGGGCTGCGGCAAGACGCTGGCCTTCCTGGCGCCGCTGCTGGACCGGCTGTATCGGCAGCAGCTGCAGGAGCCGGCGGCCGCCGAGCCGGTCAGGAACCGGCCGCGGGCGCTCGTCATCACGCCGGGCAGGGAGCTGGCCCAGCAGATCAAGGTAGGAAGGCCGGCGCACCGGCAGCAGCTACAGGAGCCGACGGCCGCCGAGCCGGCCAGGAACCGGCCGCGGGCGCTCGTCATCACGCCGGGCAAGGGAGCTGGCCCAGCAGATCAAGGTAGGAGGGCCGGCGCACCGGCGGCGGCTGCAGGAGCCGGCCAGGAACCGGCCGCGGGCGCTCGTCATCACACCGGGCAGGGAGCTGGCCCAGCAGATCAAGGTAGGAAGGCCGGCGCACCGGCGGCAGCTGCAGGAGCCGGCGGCCGCCGAGCCGGTCAGGAACCGGCCGCGGGCGCTTGTCATCACACCGGGCAGGGAGCTGGCCCAGCAGATCAAGGTAGGAAGGCCGGCGCACCGGCGGCGGACAGGGCTGAGGCCCCCGGTCACGCGTGCTGTCAGGGGCGCTTCTCAGATTTCGGGTCTGGGAAGCAGACATGCCCCTGGATCCACCGAAAATATCCCCGGATCTCATAATCGTGGAGTCCTGTAGATCCTGGATCCACCTTTGGGATCCAAGCACATGCCTGTTGGGGAGGTGGTTTGATGAATTTACCTGCTTGGTTCACGGGTGCGCCCAATATGCCCGGGATTTATGACTGATGGATTGTCTCCAAATCTGTAGTACACAGACATCAAGGGTTGCATTTTCTAGGCCTGAGAAACTCCGAAATGCGCGACACATGGCGAGAGCTGATGATTGGTTACCTCATGACCGGACCACGCGCGGGCTGTAATCTGTGGTAATGTGAAGAACTCATTCCCACCCACCCCCCACCCCCCGTAGCCGCCGATGCCCAGGCTACATATTTCCAATCTGCGTGTAGTTTCAAGATGTATGCTCCCAACAATCTATATACGTCGGGCGCGTCCTCCAACGCCCGAGCAATAGCTAACGTTGGGACCGGAGGGGTGGATGCAGCCCGTCCCGGCTCCGCGTGGGTCAGCCCCTGGGGCGTCAGCCGACCGGACGGTCCGACGACTGACCCTCCCCCCCCCCTCCCCCCTGTCGCCAGGAGGTGGCCGACGGCCTGGCGCGCGAGCTGCCGCTGCGCGCCCAGCTCCTGCTCGGCGGCCGCACCAAGCGCAAGATGCTGCACCCTACCCTGCTGGAGATGGACCTGCTGGTGGCCTCCTTTGGCGCGCTCAGCAAGCTCACCAGCGTCGGTAGGGGCCAGCCGCACCCCGCCGGTCTCGTTAATATGAACATCTAACTTGATTTTAGGCGAATTATACACGTACGAGGATTTATGGGCACTTGCAAATGCTCCTGGATTTGTAAGGGTAGCAGGGCAGGATAACCCCACACTGGTTGGTTTGCATGTCATGTATCGATTCAAGCCTTATGCACATCTATCAATTGTTATGTCTAAGGGTCACCGTCGTATGAATGTAACTTCCCAGACGGATGCTGGTCTTCCAGGGTGATGCCCCTTTTGCGTGGCCCAGGCCTACTGGGCTGTGACCGAGCGGCCGTCCGTCCCCAGGCGTGCTGGACTTGTCCCGGGTGACCCAGGTGGTGCATGGCCCAGGCCTACTGGGCTGTGACCGAGCGGCCGTCCGTCCCCAGGCGTGCTGGACCTGTCCCGGGTGACCCAGGTGGTGCTGGACGAGGCCGACACGCTGCTGGACGACTCGTTCCGGGAGGACGTGCGTCGGCTGCTGCACCGGCTGCCGCTGCGCGTCGGCAGCGCGAAGGCGGCGCCGGACGCCCCGCCGGACGCCAGCCTTACTCTGGTCGGCGCCACGCTGCCCAGCGGCGTCGACCGCCTCCTGGACGGACTGGTGACGGTGGGTGGGGCGCCGCCATCGCCCGGCCTGGTGGTGGGGCTGGCTCTGGCGCGCCGTCGCGGCTCGAGGGGCGGGGGCGCCAGTCTACTCTGCGAGCTGCGTGGAGGCCACTCCTCTGCAAGCGTGCTTGGCATGAACTGCTGCATGAACTTGGTTTGCAACCGGGGCATCCATTTGTTGCACGGCGCAAATGAGCGTGCTCGCTCATCACTCAACACAGCATCAGATCGGGCGTGATGCCGAACCTGCAGCTGTGTCGCGTTCGGCGTCCGGGCACCTCGGCCCATGCGGAGTCGTTGCGGACCCACGCAGTCACTCCCGCCGCCTCTGTGCACCCATGTCAATGCAGGGTCGTTGCGGACCCACGCCGTCACTCCCGCCGCCTCCGTGCGCCCTCTCAGCGGCGGCCTGCATGCCCCAGCGGAGCAGCCTGGCCACGTCACCGCCCCGGGCGTGATGTGACGGCGCGGGGTGCAATGTGACGCGCTTGCCACTGCGTTCCAGGGCGACAGCCTGACCAGAATCACAACGCCGCGACTGCACCGGCTGCTACCGCACGTGGCGCAGACCCTGGTGCGGCTGGGCCCGACCGAGCGGCCCGAGGCGCTGCTGCGGCTGTGCCGGCAGGCTCGCGACCACCACCAGACGGTGATCGTGTTCAGGTGAGCGCCCGCCGCCGCCGGACGCACCGGCTGATCGTGTTCAGGTGAGCGCCCGCCGCCCCCGGACGGTGATCGTGTTCAGGTGAGCGCCCGCCGCCGTCGGACGGTGATCGTGTTCAGGTGAGCGCCCGCCGCCGCCGGACGGTGATCGTGTTCAGGTGAGCGCTCGCCGCCGTCGGACGGTGATCGTGTTCAGGTGAGCGCCCGCCGCCGCCGGACGGTGATCGTGTTCAGGTGAGCGCTCGCCGCCGTCGGACGGTGATCGTGTTCAGGTGAGCGCCCGCCGCCGCCGGACGGTGATCGTGTTCAGGTGAGCGCCCGCCGCCGCCGGACGGTGATCGTGTTCAGGTGAGCGCCCGCCGCCGCCGGACGGTGATCGTGTTCAGGTGAGCGCCCGCCGCCGGACGGTGATCGTGTTAGGTGAGCGCCCGCCGCCGCCGGACGGTGATTGTGTTCAGGTGAGCGCCCGCCGCCGCCGGACGGTGATCGTGTTCAGGTGAGCGCCCGCCGCCGCCGGACGGTGATCGTGTTCAGGTGAGCGCCCGCCGCCGCCGGACGGTGATCGTGTTCAGGTGAGCGCTCGCCGCCGCCGGACGTACTGGCTGATCGTGTTCAGGTGAGCGCCCGCCGCCGTCGGACGCACCGGCTCATTGGTCCCAGGTAGCGCTGCGGAGACGGTGGTGATGACGCGAGCCGCTGGAGGCTGTGGGCGAGTGGAAGGTGTTTGTGTGTATGGTTAGAGAGGACTGTCTCAGGTTTTCCGGCTCTGGCGTCGTATGTTGGAGAGGTTACGTATCGCGGAATTCTGGGAGTGACGATGATAACTGATAATTGGAAATAGCTTGAAGAAGGAGCACTTATGATGTAGTATGAGCTTTAACGAGATGAACACCCAAGTTAAGTTTATTGTTTGTGACGTTAAGTTTATGGTTTATGTCTGCTAGGCAATTGACATTGTCTCGTCTGGAAACAGCGTTGTCATGACGGCGCTCAAGCTGGCTGCGTCCTCATCACCTCGCGCTCGTGCCCCCAGCAACAATGCCCACACGTGCAACTGGGTGAGCCTGTACTTGAACGAGCAGGGCATTGACTGCCTGAACATCAACGGCGAGATGCACTACAAGCTACGTCAGGGCCGCTGGCACGCGTTCCTCTCCGGCCAGCCAGCTGTGCTCTCCTGCACCGACATCGTGTCCCGCGGCCTGGACAGCGCGCACGTGAGTTTGCTGCGGCCCGGGGCGTGCTGAGTGGTGCTGGGGACGACTGGACGGTGCTAGATTAGGTTTGCTGTTAGGTGGACAGCTACGGCTTAAGACGATCTTTACGGCTTAAGACAATCTTAAGACAATCTTCCGCTGGGTGCCAGGTTCATTAACATGTGCCGGATGAAATTCGATTCACAGTTCTGTGAAGAGAAGGCCTTTAGCACGTGAACCCAATGGATTAGAAGGAAAAGTACGCCGTAGAGCGGTTGTGTAACCAACAAACTTCCGAGTTGCTGGGACAGTTATGCATCACATGGAGACGCGAGGCTCCAGCCATCGGACTCCTTTTTATAGCGCAAGGCCGTTGAGACTCACGTTGTTAACCACTTTCACTGCGAAGAACCTCACCGACGAGTTTTCGGTGTCAATGTGGCGCCCCGCCCCCCAGGCCGCATTGTCGACTCTCGCGCGCGCGAGCTTTCGGATGTACCCCGCGCTGCCCGCCCTATCAGCTCGGAGGGACTCGCCGACGGATCTCCGCGCCGTCTCACCCTGCGTCGCGGTTCCCAGGTGCACCACGTGGTCAACTTCGACTTCCCCTGGAACACGTCTGACTACGTACACCGAGCGGGCCGCGTGGGCCGCGTGGGCGGCATCGCCGACGGCAGCGTCACGAGCTTCGTCAGCCGCCCGCTGGAGGTGGAGATGGCGCAGCGTATCGAGGTGAGTCGCCTCGCGCCGGCCCGGCCCTACCACGCGTGTGGAAGGGGAGAGGGCCGGTGCGGCCGGCGCGGCGCTGGCCTTACCGGCCCGGCCCCACCACGCGTGTGGAAGGGGAGAGGGCCGGTGCGGCCGGCGCGGCGCTGGTCTTCCCGGCCTGCTGCATTGGCTGCTGGAGGACTCGGCTAGATGTGGTTGTCGGTGCGTTTGGATAGCAAGTACACAATGCTTTGCTGAAAGGATTGAAGGGTTGTGTTTAATGCTGCTGGGCGTTGTTGTTTCAGAATGGTAAAGCTCCCGTCGCCACCGGTAAATCGTCCTCCTTTTGTGCGCTTGCTTTTGGCCCAGAATTCAGATCACAGGCATGATTTGCACAGAGTGGTCACCGTCTCATCTGCCACTAAGATAGTGCGTTGAAATACGAAAATTCCGCCGAAAAAATGCTCGGTATGCGAAACGTTACGGCATACGCTCACCACCCATGCTGCAACTTTTCGTTGGTCAGAAATATTCTCCTCGCCCTTTAATAATTCTATCAAGTCGTAGTCTTACGCGGGTCAAGTGACAGGCGGGTACTACGTGTGGTTGCGGTCACTAAGCAGTGCATGAGTTCGCAGCAATATAGCCAAAGATAAAGTGAAAAGTGTCACTATGCCAGCTGTTCGATACTTGGTGTGGTGTACTGATTTTGGAGTAAGGTTTTTGTGCACATTTTGGAACTAAAGAAAACAAGAAACTGGATGGGTTGGCCTTTCTTTAGCGTTGTGTAGGCCCAATGCTGTTGATAGTCTCGTATCCGTGTACTGGCGTCCAGGATTGTCTTACTTCGGGTCGCCGTGGTCGCGTCCGTGCCGGGCCTCAGCGGTGTGTTGTGTAGATGCCTGCCGCTCACCCCCGGAGCGGTGTGTTGTGTAGAGGCCTGAGGTTCACCCCCGGAGCGGTGTGTTGTGTAGAGGTCTGCCGTTCGCCCCCGGAGCGGTGTGTTGTGTAGAGGTCTGCCGTTCGCCCCGGAGCGGTGTGTTGTGTAGAGGCCTGCCGTTCACCCCCGGAGCGGTGTGTTGTGTAGAGGCCTGCCGTTCACCCCCGGAGCGGTGTGTTGTGTAGAGGTCTGCCGTTCACCCCCAGAGCTGTGTGTTGTGTAGAGGCCTGCCATTCACCCCCCAGAGCGGTGTGTTGTGTAGAGGCCTGCCATTCACCCCCAGAGCGGTGTGTTGTGTGGAGGCCTGCCATTCACCCCCAGAGCGGTGTGTTGTGTAGAGGCCTGCCATTCACCCCCAGAGCGATGTGTTGTGTAGAGGCCTGCCATTCACCCCCAGAGCGGTGTGTTGTGTAGAGGTCTGCCGTTCAGCCCCGGAGCGGTGTGTTGTGTAGAGGCCTGCCATTCATCCCCAGAGCGGTGTGTTGTGTAGAGGCCTGCCATTCACCCCCAGAGCGGTGTGTTGTGTAGAGGTCTGCCGTTCACCCCCAGAGCGGTGTATTGTGTAGAGGCCTGCCATTCACCCCCCAGAGCGGTGTGTTGTGTAGAGGCCTGCTGTTCATCCCCAGAGCGGTGTGTTGTGTAGAGGCCTGCTGTTCACCCCCGGAGCGGTGTGATGTGTAGATGCCTGCTGTTCACCCACAGAGCGGTGTGTTGTGTAGAGGCCTGCCGTTCACCCACAGAGCGGTGTGTTGTGTAGAGGCCTCGTAGAGGCCTGCCGTTTGCACCCAGAGCAGTGTGTTGTGTGGAGGCCTGCCATTCACCCCCACAGTGGTGTGTTGTGTTGAGGCTTTGTAGAGGCCTGCCGTTCACCCCCAGAGCGGTGTGTTGTGTGGAGGCCTGCCGTTCACCCCCAGAACGGTGTGTTGTGTAGAGGCCTGCCGTTCAGCCACAGAGCGGTGTGTTGTGTAGAGGCCTGCTGTTCACCCCCGGAGCGGTGTGATGTGTAGATGCCTGCTGTTCACCCACAGAGCGGTGTGTTGTGTAGAGGCCTGCCGTTCACCCACAGAGCGGTGTGTTGTGTAGAGGCCTCGTAGAGGCCTGCCGTTTACCCCCAGAGCGGTGTGTTGTGTGGAGGCCTGCCGTTCACCCCCACAGTGGTGTGTTGTGTAGAGGCCTTGTAGAGGCCTGCCGTTCACCCCCAGACCGGGGGGTTGTGTGGAGGCCTGCCGTTCACCCCCAGAGCGGTGTGTTGTGTAGAGGCCTGCCGTTCGGCCACAAAGCGGTGTGTTGTATAGAGGTCTGCCGCTCATCCCCGGCACCGACGCCGGCCGTGCCCCGACCCGTCCTCTCTCGGCCGGCAGATGGCGGCTCGCACTGACCAGGAGCTCTGGAACGTGGACGCCAACATCAAGCATATCATCGAGCGGCGGATGCTGCGGAAGGCGGCGAATGCGGAGTCGCGAAGGCGGAGCTGAAGCCGCCACCGCTGCCTCTGACCGGTCGGCTTGTCGTGTGTGCGTGATGGCAGTGAGGGGGTGGGTGTGATGATCACATGGCTCCAGCGCACGCCAGTCGGTGTGTTTTCTCTTGTAGAGACAGGTTATGGTATTTTGGATGTTGAGGGAATGCCATGAACGCTACTGTATGGTTATGTCAGATGTTTCTGAATACAACGACGAGGAAGACGCGTCGTCTGCTCATGCAGATGACTGCATGACGTGACGATGACGTGACGATGACGTCGTCTGTTTTGAGCTAAATTCGTGACTTGTCGGTTACGAATGCGCTCGAACTGGCTACGACGAAGCGTTTTAAAGATGAAAGGTCACTCGAGAAGTCGCGTGTACTCCAGCCAAGGGCAGGCCTCGTCCTTAATTTGCGATCAAATCAAACGGCGTCACAGACGAATAGGTATCAGTTGGGCGCATCAGCCCAGCAAACGGGGCGGCATCGTCTCAGCGCCGACAAAGCGTGAACCGGTCCACTGGCCGCCCGTGCTGGAACCGCCGCACTGCGTTCGTCACCAGCGTTGCAGCCAGCCCTGAGGTGGTGGCCCAGAGCGGTCGGTCAGGGGCTGACCGGTGGTGGCGGTGGTACAAGCCCGGTGTCCCTCACGAGGCCAGTGAGTGTTCGTTTGTTAGGTGGGGTTATTGCGGAAAAGAAGGACGCTAGGTGATGCTTACTTACGTTAATTATAAGTCTTGCCACTATATCACGAGCGATTTGCAGAGTGATGACGGGGTTTCTAATGTTTCCATATTTCTTGACCTCAGGTCCTGTACGAGACAAGTTTTCTCCCACGTCTCGGACGTCCTTGCCCGTGAATCGTAGATCTGATTCCTGTTCCCAGATGGCGCTGGTCTTTCCGGAGATCGGCGATCTTTTTATGACTGACACTCGTTGAATGCCGGTGGAGCTCATCAGACGTGCGACGTGTTGACGTGTGCACGATGTGTGTCTTTACGTGTGCACGTTTACCATGCGCCAGGAGACCGAATGGTCTGGTGCATCGCTTAGGAACGGATGACGACACCCCACGGGTACACGGCCCGGGCAGTGGGCCGAAGCTTCCGCCCCAAGGCCCGGGCAGTGGGTCGGAGCTTCCGCCCCGAGACGCGGACAGAGGGTCGGAGCTTCCGCCCTGAGACACGGACAGTGGGTCGGAGCTTCCGCCCCGAGGCGGCCCGGGCGTGGGTCGAAGCTTCCGGCCCCAGACGCGGACAGTGGGTCGAAGTTTCCGCCCCGAGACGCAGACAGTGGGTCGGAGCTTCCGCCCGAGGCCTGGTCTGCTTTGTGGGGCACGCGACATCAGACAGGCCATGCATTGAGCACTCGCCTATATATGTCGTTGGATGGTGTGATCATTAGTCGTGGCCACGCCTTGGTACAAAACGACATATGTTACATCACATAAAAAATGTATAATCCATCCTTCGCGGTTCACGCATAAAATACAAGAGCGAAACAATAAAATGGCATGAGCACGATGAAATGGCACAAAATACAATGTAAGGTTACGATCATTGCATAAACATACACATCGGTGCGGTCTTTTCACAAATATACGCATCACATGCTCAGCGTTTAGCAGCGCTGTACGCGCGGGTGTTCCGTTTCCGGTACAACATAAGCTAGCAGCACGTTGCCAATATCTTCATGTGGAATCTCCGCTAACGGAAAATCCGTGGCTTAAAGCCTTATAAGTCGATGCTATTGTTCTCGTCCCATCCGTGCTGTCCCCCCCTCCTGCTGTTGTCAGTGGGTGGAAGCGACCGGCCGGGGGCCCGCGAGGGTAGGCTGCGCTGGGCTCGGATTTCTGACCGCTCCAGGGACAAAGGTCACGCGTCGTGACCGGTGACTTCGATCGCTGACCATGCTCCACATACTTTAACATTGAACCTTGCACAAAGCTCCCGTCGCCTTGCACACTGCCCAATGGCAAAGCCAGGGCGCTGCACTATCCTCTGCGACCCGCGGCAGTGATATGAGAAACAATGATTTAACCACTCAACCGCAGCGCACATCCAGCCACCTGCTCATCATCAGCACGATGCCAACTTGAACACGAACGGCTGCACGGGAGCACGGGGCCAACCCAGCCAGAGGCCTGATCGACTCAGTCCCATCCGGGGTGTAAATGATCGACTCAGTCCCATCCGAGGTGCAAATGGTGCACACAGCATCATGCGGAGTGTAAATGATCGGCACAGCGTCATCCGGGGTGTAAATCCGGATTCGCGCCCACGCCTGCCGCTCAGGCCCGCCACTGGCGCAGCGAGGATGATGTCGCGTGTTCCGTCCTCGTGCCCGCCCGCTCGCGTTTCTCTGTGTTTGGGACGCGGCTCCGACTGCTCGGACAGAGACAGCAGCTGGCCAGCCGTGCCGCTGCGTGACAAGACAGACGAGGTACCGGAGTCCGCCGCGCCGTGGGTACGGGCCCAGTGTGCGACGCTGGGACGGCCTGCCGTCGCCCGCCGTCCCGCAGCCCTAGTCCAACATCGGCTCTCAGGACGCCTCGCTCGCCCCCGGGCGTCGACACTGGAGATCGCTCCGACGGCGGCCCGTCGGCCCCGGACGCGTCCGGCACGGCCGCACATACCGGCAGTAACGCCCTGTCGCGACGCGACGCGCCGCGGCGAGGAGCCCCACACGACAGCCTGAGAAGCTGCCGCCCAGCGGTGGCTCCGTGCAGCTCAATCACCGTCAGCGTAGCCCCCAGCGACGGGGTGGAAACGGTGCCGCTCACTCAGACCGCGGGCGCTCAGACCGCGCTGCTCCTCCCGAAGTCCCGCGGGACCAGGTAGTGATCGGCGTCCTCCACTGGCGCCAGGCAATGGTCCTCGTCCTCGCGCGGCGCCAGGTAGTGATCCTCGTCCTCGCGCGGCGCCAGGTAGTGGTCTTCGTCTTCGCGGGGCGCCGTCCGCGCGGTGCCCGGCCGCGAGCTCCGGCTCGCCCTTGTGCCCATCTTGGGTGTGGACGGCACCTTGGTCGTGTCGTCGTAGCCGGGGTTGTAGACGCTGTTGGCCGGCGCGGCGGCCGGCCGCGGCTCGAAGTCGAACCGTGAGACGGGCTTCACCACGGCCGTCGGGCGTGGCGAGAAGATGTGGCCGGCGTCGGGCGTCATCTCGAGGTAGCCGCCCGGGCCCGGCCTGGCCGCACCACCGCCGCCGCCGCTCTCTGCGGGAACGGACGACGTCAGACGAGCGCGCCGCTGGCGGGCACGTGTGGCTCGCGCTGGACACCGGTGCGGGTACTAATGCGAGCTGTTCTGGTGGTGGTTTTCCTGGTTACATAGCATGAAAAGTGGAAAGCATTTGCAATGTCAAATCAGTGAGGGATGCGCCGTAGCTTTTTCGCGTACGCGTGCCACCAATGGTCAACCCGACCTGGTACATTTAAAATTGCAAGAATGTTGCATTTGATCACCTAAGATCATAAGATCATGACCCCGCATCTCCTGGTGACCCATGCCACGACCAGCGCTCCCCTGGTGACCCTTGACCCATCGTCACGAACCCCCGGCAGCGGGTGACCCATGTAGCCCGCCTGACCCTCTGGTGACCCTTGACCCGTCGTCGCGACCCCGCTCTGGATAGCCGGTGGCCCCTGTAGCCCACCTGACCCTCTAGTGACCCTTGACCCGCCGTCGCAAGGGTCACACGCCCCCGGCAGCCAGTGACCCCTGCGGCGCGTCTGACCTCCATTGCCGGAGGCGCGGTAGCCGGCCGTCTGACGGCGAGGGTCAACGTTGACGTAAGCCGGCGCCGCACCACCCGCGCTGTCCTCCGCCGGCGTCACGTTCTGGTAGTCGGGGCTGACGATCTGCGTCACGTAGTCGGTGCGACGCGCGAAGTACTCCTCGTTAGGTTGCGGTACGGCTCGTTTAGTTGCATGTACTCCTGCGGCAGCGACAGCAGCGACGGGGTTAGCGTCAGCTTATTATGGTCCGTCGGGTGCGGGAGGCAGGGCAGGAGCGAGGCATTGGGTCTAGTTTTCTGATGTGGACAGAGCGACTTTGAATGAGCGGACCCTCTCCCTGAAAAACCGCATCATCACTGGTGACAAAACCAGCTGACGTGCCACCTACCATGAGGCGCTCGGTGAAATAGCGAAAACAAATGCTCGTACACGGATTTGACGAGCAGAGGCGCCCAGCGACCCGTCCATGTCACGCGGCTGCCACAGTGCTGCCGCCCGCCCAGCGGCCGGCGGCGCAGCGCCCACCTCTCGCACGCGCTCCTCCAGGAAGTGGCCGAGCTTGACGCTGATCTCGGTGAAGTTGGGCCGGTCGCCGGGCGAGGCTGCCCAGCACTCGAGCATCAGGTTGTAGGCCGAGAGCGGCGAGAACTTGGGCATCTCCATCCGGTAGCCGTCCCGCAGCCGCCTGCCGGCCGTGTCAGCGATGGTGAGTACCCGTTGATGCCGAGGAAACGAATACGGGCTGGGGGGGGGGGGGGGGGGAGGAGGGCTCTAAAAAGCGCACGGGGTGTGAACGCCTGACTGAAAACTGGGAAGATATGGGGTGTATGTCCTGCGGGTGGAGATGTGTGAAGCTGGGGAGGTTTTCTGGTTTTGACGTTCTGCTTCTGGTGGGATGAGATTTACCCGACGGCTTGAGAATGCCAAGCAAGTCCCACCCAGCCACTGCTAATCCTCACCACTCTTGGAAACGCCCCCACACCGTCAAGGTTTCCGGATGGCACAGGGGTACGGCACCAAGAAAACACGAGCACAAGCGCTTGACACCCCGAACGGCACCGCGTGAAGGCGGAATACGCTGAAAGGATGGTGACCAATTACTGATAACGTTCATCAAAGCACGTTCTGGTGCCGCTCCGTGAGCGCGAAGAACCTACCCTGGTGTTGTGGGCAACGGGGAGAACAGTGGCTCTGCCACAGCAAAAGTAAGCAGAGGTTAGCAAAGTTTTCGGCGAAGTTGGCTGCAAATTGGCTCATCACCAGTCCCTGCGGCGGGAACCACCCTTGCAAGGTAGCATCACCCTGTTCGCCGAAGCCACAGAGGCGGCACAGCGGCGGCAGTGATGTTTCTCCGACCGCTCACCTGACGAAGTTGATGTCGTACTCCATGCCCGGGTAGGGCGACGATCCGAGTGAGAAGAACTCCCACATGACAACGCCGAACGCCCACACGTCAGACTGGGTGGAGAAGACGCTGTCCTGGATGGACTCGATCGCCATCCACTTGACCGGCAGCAGACCCTGCGGCGGCAGGGGCCAGAGGTCATTGGCAGCCGTGCGAGCGACGCAGGTCGGGTTATATTCAGGAACACTTTATGCTGCTTCCGACTACGTTGACAACAGTAGTTGTTTTAAAAGATGGGACAGGTGTCCAGACAGAATGCCAGCAGTGCTGCTTTGGGGACGACTACGGTCAGAACCGTGCGTAACTATCCGCATCCAGTGGAATAGCTAACACGACATCGAATCAAGGCTGGACATACAGGTCACGTCATTCCGCACGCCTTTCCGGATCATGGTTCGAGCTATTAAGCCACACCGGTGAGTTTACGCTCAGTCAAGCGACTTAAGCATGAAAGGATCCTGCAATGATTTTCTGGCACACTACCATACGCAATTTTAAACACCACGTCCACATAGTCACGGTTATGCAAGCCAAACCACGGGCCTATCACCAACGTAAAACCTGGCCCATCCCACAGAGCTTCTCACCGACGTAAAACCTGACCTACCCCACAGGGCCTCTCACCGGCCGTCATCGCTAGTGCCCACTCACCTTGCCCTTCTTCTTGTAGTCCCTGGTCTTGTAGATGTCCCTGGAGAGGCCGAAGTCGGAGATCTTGACGATGTTGTTCTCGGCCAGCAGGATGTTGCGCGCCGCCAGGTCGCCGTGCAGCAGCTTGCGCGAGGCCAGGTACTCCATGCCGCGCGCCACCTGGTAGCTCCAGCGCAGCAGGTCACGTGTTGTGAGCGGTGTCCGCCGCTGGCGCACGCTCACGCCCGTGTTGGAGCGCGGCACACCCTGGCTGTCCTCGTAACCTGGCGATGGAGGGGCGCGGGTCAACGGACCGTAGCATGGAGTCGGGACAGGGGTCACCGGACCGTAGCATGGAGTCGGGACAGGGGTCACCGGACTGTAGCATGGAGTCGGGACAGGGGTCACCGGACCGTAGCATGGAGTCGGGACGGGGGTCACCGGACCGTAACATGAGGACGGGACAGGGGACGCTGGACCGCAGCATGGGGAAGAGCGGGGAAGACAGATAGCAATCCGGAGACGGTGAGAAGGCATGGACCGTAAACGAGAAACGGCGGGCAGGGTTAACTAGTCGTAAATGCTTCACGACTAGGCAACTGAGCATCAATGACAGCGACAGGCGAAGTAAGCATCACGGTGTAACCTATCACATAGTAAGTGGGTTTTTGTGTCATTAAAACCAGGATCAACACCTCATAATTTGTCAGGCAGCAAAGCCCCAGTGAGTGAATTGGCCGAGTGATGGTACACGAAAATTAAGCACATTTATATCGTTAATATTCCCACCCATTCGTAGCCTGGTAAGTGAATCATTTTGCAGCAGCAAACTCGAACCTTCAGTCGCCAAGTTCATAAGGAGCACGCTGTGATATGGCGAGTAATGAATGACATTTGACAGGTGACAGGACACATGCGACATTTGACAGGTGACATGACACATGTGCCATTTGACAGGTGACATGACACATGTGCCATTTGACAGATGACATGACTCATGTGATATTTGCTGTGTAATATACAGCACAGGGCAGACGTCTGAGAAACAGGGAAAGATCCGGGGGGGGGGGGGGAACAACGGAGCCACGCTCCCCCCCCCCCCGATCCTACGTCGGACTACGCACGTAAAGAAAACAAAATTATGGTCCAGTAAAATGGATCGGGGACAGCAGACATCTCGGGTCAACCAGTGAGTACGTTGAAAGGGGCTGGGCGAAGGCAGGGTGTCAAACATGGTTTCGTGCGCACTTCGTGGCATGCAACATGCCACGCACACTAATTAAACATAACGCAATCAAACTTAACAAAACTTTAGGCAGAAAACGCGTTGAACCCCGAAAGGTGACATAAGAGTCACATGAGCATGACACTCAAATGGCCCACTTCCTAGCGAAATCCTGGCCCCGGCCCTGGTGACACGTCACATGCGCTGATGACGTGTGCCGCACGGTCGCTACTGACCGGTGACGGCCGGGCTGTGGCAGACCGTGGCGCCCGTCATGTCCGTGTTGAAGCCGCTGCTGTCCAGGCTGGAAGTGGTGCTGTTGCGGCGTGGACTCTTGTAGTGACTGTCGTGGGATGTCCACGTCAGGTGGCTTCCGACCCGGTCCAGGCCGCCGCCGCCGGCGACGTAGTTAAGCGGCGTTCTGACAGATGGCGTTAGTGAGCGGACTAGAACGCTAGGCGAGTAATTACAACCAAGGTCGGCACGGAACACAACGGCCGAGCATGCAGACGGGACAGTGACGAGTCACAGGTTGTGTTGGACACCTGTCAGTCACCTCAGGACGAATGCATGCCGTCCCGACAGTGAGCAATACCACCGATTGAGGGGGGGGGGGGGGGGAATCCCCTCAGCCACCGCACATCGCTCTAGTTTTTAACTAGGCCTCCCGCGTCATTGGAGACGCGAATAACTGAGCTTTTCCGGATAGGTGAATACAAATGAGCGTTTTCAGCATCACCTAAGCAATGATGACTCAACAGAATTTCAAGAGTCTTGGACACTCATTAACATACACGTATGATGAAGTTGATGACTTTCGCCATTTACCGCTATGTATGTACACATCTTAGTTACAATGCTTTATCAAGCCTCTAGCACTCCTTCGTAAGCGGAGACAGCATTAAGAACGGCATTAGAAGCTTGCCATAGAAATACATGCAGTCTGGCATAACTGAAAAGTCATCTTATTGCGGAGGGTGCCGAAGGGATGTCCAAATGCATCAATAAATCATGCCATGCTCATTAGCGATTAACCAAGCACCATTCGGATAATTATTTGCAACACGTCGTGACGGCTTGGTTTGTCGCGGTAGCTGAGTTGGTTAGAGCGCCTGCCTTGCGATTCCCCCTTTCGTGTCGGAGTGAGTTCGGGTCGCTTTAGACGCTAGCTGTCTGCCCCTGTCTAGCATGGCCCGCAGCCGGTGGCGGCAGCCTCACGAAAGCTCAGGTGACGTCAGAGGACAGGATGGGCCGTGCCGAGCATTCCGGCACGTTAAGCTTTTGCCAGAAAACTCTGCCCGACTCTGACTCTGACTCTGCAAAACTCTGACTCAGAATGCCACGATCGGATGGTGGGCTCAAGGCTCACACGACAAGCTCGACTTAGCGTGAGCGCTGGTGTCAAAAATCCATCCAATCAAAACATCTCGATGACACTAAAAACAAACAAAAATGTGCTTTGCTGAGTGCAAGTTTGCGCCACCGTTTAACACCATTCAAAATTTATCGCACTGCATCGCAATCGTCCCAAGCTGTTTGTTACACCGGTCTGTACGTACCAGTGCCGACCGGATTGAATGTCAAATGCGGATTACTTGCATGGTGGGGGCCATTTTTCAGCATTAAACATTTCGTAATTGGTCAGATGTAGTCCTAATGACGTCACGCAAAGCAACCAGCCACCAAAAGCTTCCATAAGTTGAAAGAAGCGCAAGCAAGGTACCATTAAAAGCCAGCTTGCATGCCTCACAACGTATAACAAAACTAAACTTGGAACAAGCTGTAAAACAAAGGGAAACACAGATACGTAGATGAAAAGAAACAGTACTACGGAAAAGATGGAAGTGAGCCAGCAAAAGTGTTTAATAAGATCAAGCCATCATCACGAGCTCCCGCTGATCGACTGTTTAACTTCAGCGACTGAGGGCCGGCGGCCAGCTGAGTCATTCACCTTTCATTGACGGCGCCGGACAGGAGCGCCGCCTCGTACTCCTCCTCCCCGAGACTGGCGTCGTATTCGCCTGTGGATGCCAGGCACAAGCAGATTAGCGGCCATTCTGCCTGGCTCATGACGTCACTCAGCTGCTGAAGCGGCTGGCGCCGTGAATATGATGCTCTATGGCAAAGCGTGACGCTGGTCAAACGTCATTTCTACAATGACTCTGAATGACACGAGAAGAGCATAAAAGGTGGCAATCTTTTGCGGCAAGTGTTCAGAATATACTGTCTGGCTTGGACCAGAAGAAAATAATTTCAACTGCCATCTTGCAACCCGCTTGCAGCAAGCGATGTAAAGAGCACGAATCAAAGGGCTGGCGAGCGCAGATGCTGACACTATGATCATCATTGGAACTTTACCACGCACTCAGCTGCTGGTGTTATGTGAAGTCGTTTGCCTTTCATCCCGGCTGGAAAGGCGCCCATAGATAATGTGTTGTGATAATGATGTTTTCTATGCTAATTCTGGAAATATTCTCACCGGAAATCGCATCCACCTGGTTGATGTAGCAGTTCTTGTGCCGGTGGAGGTACTGGTGCAAGTTACCATGGCGACAGTACTCGACGAGAACCATGAACTCGCCTGAAAGATGAACGCAAACGCCTGAAAATCCCTTCGAGTTCTGCAGATCACGTACGGTCCCGTGAGAGATCTGCACTACACTGCATAAACAGACAATACCACCATCACAACTTACGCCCGTCCGTGGAACTTCTTCGTAATGTACACTTTTGGGCCGTAGCAGCACGTAGCAACACATAAAACAGTTCATCACACACGAGCACACAAAATCATGAAATAATTAATCAGGGTGACACTCGTCCAAACCATATGGAGTAATGTACATGTGGCACATGCCTGACTATGAGACGCATACCACATATTAAGGCGTAACTGTAACAGTCAATTACTGAAGTGACTTGATGGACTTTCGTACTTAGCTAGCCCACCTATGTTGGACCAGGATTATCAAGGAACACGGCCACACGGCCTCACCCAAGCATTCAAGTTTATAAAGCTACAGCGTGAATGTGGTGAGCGCGGATGGGCGGAACGGTCCGACCGCGTCCATCATCTGCGCTGATTTTCCCCATCACGCTTCACGGGAGCCCGCAGCCACGCTCGCCGGCTGCAGCTGGTGCCGCAGACGAGAGTTCTGCGTCCGAGGCGCCAGTGTGCGCGGCCCCGGGATCGCTCCCGTGACGCCCCCGCCCGCTGCTTGGGGATTCGGCCCAGAGATGGCTCTCGCGTCGCCTACCCTCCTCGGCGTGTTTGGTGACGGCCCCCAGCAGGTTGACCACGTTCAGGTGCTTGCCCAGCTGGATCATGATCTTGAGCTCCGCCATCATCGAGCGTATTTGGTTGGGGTCGGAGCCGGACTTGGGCATCTTGACGGCCACGACCGTGCGCGGCTCGTGCGGCAGCAGACCCACCGCCTCCGCCTTGACTACGCGCCCGAACGCGCCCGAGCCAATCTGCCGGCCTGCGGTCAAGGCCTAGGTCAACGTCGGGGTCAAGCCCTGGGTCGCCGGTAGGCGTGAAGAGGTGGCACTGGGTCAGCAGGTCAGAGGTCGCACGGCGGTCAGAGGGCGTTGTCTAGTGAGCTACAGACGGTACAGCTTCAGCGCGGGTTAAGTGCCAGGCTCGGCTGTCGGGCTACTGCCTCGGGGTTGCAGCAGAAACCCACCCAGGGGTCAAAGGTCAGGTCAACGAGCGGTGCTTCGCCGTCCAGCGCCGACGCAGAGTAAGGCGGTCTCTCGCGGGCTGCTGAACCTTGCCCGGCGATTACCCACGGGCCCCACCCAGAACACCGGTGGTGCCGTGATCTCTTCAGCGTCTTACCGAGTATGAGCTTGTCCTTGGGGAATTCCCACTCGTCGTCGTAAGGCAGCAGCTCGGCCTGCTCGTCGATCGGCATGTTGGGGTTGAATTGCGTCATGCGGCCGTTGGCGAAGGCCTCCAGCTCCGTCTTCGTTAGCCGCCGCTGCAAGTTCTGGCGCAGAGGATGACACGGTTGTAACATCGCAACACCCAAGATCTCGCGTAGCTGAAACACCTGGCGGCATGGCTGAATGTGTACATGCACAGGACATATATTACCATGTTTAATTAAAGCCCCTGATAGCCTTCAAAGGTTTTTGTTGCAACTATCACTAATCCTCATCGTAAGCCATATGATAGTCAAACGGGCGCGGCATGCATGTTTCTGGAGAATCCATCAATGAGTAGAAATATCTTAACTACAAGCGTGGAGCACTGCATCATCCCTGGACACCTCACACCGTCGCTGCCAGGCGCCGCAGTCGCGTTCCTCCCCAAGCTACAGCTTACCTTCTGCTGACGGATCTTCCAGACCAGGCAAGTGGCCAGCGCGATCAGGATCAGCACCATCACCACGGTGACGATGATGATGACGAGCAGGTTGGCAGCGCTACCGGGTACCAACACGGCCGCTGAACCCTGCAGCACCCCCACGCGATTGGCGGCGCGGCACTCGTAGTTTCCGGCGTCATCAGAGATGGCAGCACTGATCAGCAGCCGCTGGCCGTCTTCGGACAGCCGCACGCGCCCGTTCTCGTCCAGTGCGAGCGGTGCGCCGTCCTGGGGAGCGAGCGGGTCAGCGGGTCAGCAAGGTCAGCAGATCACACCGATCACCATGCCTCCGAGTGGGGCGCGGTAGTCTGGCTGGGCCACTCACAGCCTGCGGGGCCGTGGCATGGGGGCATTGACGTAGTTGGTTGCGGACGTTGTCTGAGGAAATCTCGACGCACTGCAAAATATGCCATTAGTTTTATGACAGTCTAGCCCTTGTGAGGTATCACTCACCTGGCAGAGAACATCAAATTCTTGGAAATTGCTGCACATCCTCCGGACTTCGGTAATACATGATGTAACACCGGACCGCGACTTGTTCAGAGCAGACGACTTGTTCAGCGCATGCCAAGAGGAGGTGCCACAGTGTGCACGTGATTCGTGCACATCACCTGCGTTTCCACCAGTGGACTCACCTTGGTCCAGGTGACCTCTGGCGGCGGCAGGCCGGAGACGGTGCAGTTCAGTTCACCTCGCGTGCCCTCCTCCAGCGTGATGGTCGCTGACTTGTCCATGTTGGCGTCCAGCATGAACTGCGGGCTGGCCGTGCCTGCCAGTCCGCCGCCACCGAGTCAGTCGGGATCCGTCGACGACACATCGGCACGTCCACGCTCACGTCTACCATGTACCTCCACGTCTGCCTTCTGCCTTCATGTTTGTCTTCGCCCTGTCCCCGTGTGCGAGCAGTGGTGCGAATGGTGCACATGCTGACCGAACATGTGTCTCACGCACATACACCGGTCAACTCCCGACACATACTGGCCGAACATGTGCGAACAGATTGCGCGCCTGTTCGTCACCAGGGTCGGTGGACTCTCCTGGACCTGCACCCTGGCTCACCCCAGACCTGCACCCTCGCTCACCTTAGACCTGCACACTGGCTCCCCGGGACCTGCACCCTGGCTCACCCCAGACCTGCACCCCGGCTCACCTTAGACCCGCACCCTGGCTCCCCGGGACCTGCACCCTGGCTCAGCCTGGACTTGCACCCTGGCTCTTCTGGACCTGCACCCTGGCCCTCTTGGACCTGCACCCTGGCTCACCCTGGACCTGCATCCTGGCTCCCCTGTACCTGCACCCCGGCTCACCCTGGACCTGCACCAGCCGATCCGACGTGTTGGTGCGGCCGAGCAGGTCTGTGGCCTGGCAGAGGTAGCGGCCTGCGTGTTGGGGCCCGACATCCGTCAACACCAGCACGCTCTGGTAGGAGAAGGCCGTCTCCCGCGACGCCAGCCGCAGCCCTGCGCCGGTGGGACGCGGGTCAGACGCGCGGACGGCGGCGGGCGGCGAGCGGTCATGAGCGGGGCGACGCGGACCAGGCGGTCATGGCCAGTCACACCGCATCGCATACAGGGGTCGGCTCGGACGCGCTCGGTGCGGGCGCAGAACACAGACTCGGCAGACGCAGCCCGGGCGAGACGTCGACCCCTCCTCCCCCCCCCCCCCACACACACCAACAAACCAGGGAGATTTGCCGTCATGATCAGTGACCTTCTATCCCAGTACCATCGCTAAATAACACGCGCCCTCGACTCTTGCGAAACGGTGCCCGCGTCATGTCCCGCGTTTCCTCTTCACCATTGGTTACTGAAACCCCACCGTCACCAGCGGAGCCCTGCCGCAGCAGACCGTCTCACCATCCGGCCACCGCTCAGTGGTGACTACCTGAGCCAGCGGCGCCTGCCTCACCGTCTCCCTCCATTACAGGATCTGGCGGGTTGGGCCCGGAGCCGGCCTTTAGCCAGCGGAAGCGCTGGACGCTGTCGAAGGCCAGCTTGCTGCCCGCGCAGGTCAGGTTCAGGCGGTCTCCGACCACCACCAGCGCCGGCGTAGGCAGGACTCCGAACCCGCCGGCCACGTCTGGCGGCGGTGGCGCGGGTCAGCCGGGGTCACAGGGGGTCGGGAGCCGGGGTCACATACCGGCTCATTTGGTGGGAGCTGCAGGTCACGAGGCGGAGGCATCGCCACTGGAGGGGGCGCACAGCCGACGCCTCCGGCAAGGACTGTCGAGAGGGACCAGTCCGCCGGCTGCACGAGGGTCTTCCGACTTCTTAACTATTAGCGGCGTGACAAGGTGTGCGTTGGAAACGGGTCTGTGGAAATACACCACTCGGCGAAGCACGAGCACACTGCTGAACCGTCACTAACTGTCTGACAGGGGCAACCAACAGTGCCACTGCACTGGGCCTCTACCGCGTGTTTAAGATCCACCGTGAGACGCCCGTTGAAGTATCAGGACTAAAACCATTCCTTCTCTCTCTCTCTCTCTCTCTCTCTCTCTCTCTCTCTCTCTCTCTCTCTCTCTCTCTCTCTCTCTCTCTCTCTCTCTCTCTCTCTCTCTCTCTCTCTCTCTCTCTCTCTCTCTCTCTCTCTCTCTCCCTCTCTCTCGTTCTCGCTTTCGCTCACCTGATACAAAGAATGGTGTGCTAGCTATGGCAGGCACAGGGAACTTGTTCGAAGCACTGCACTGGTAGTATCCTGCTTTGATAGCTATGACTTTCAGAGCACTCTGAACCCGCCATTTCGTCTGCGAGATACGGGTCTCCTCTTCAGCGTTCATTTGTGATTTCTGCCAAGACGAGAAATGACATCGGTTCAGAGTTGGTTAAGACCGCATAAGACAACTGTGAACAATAAATGCCATTATTAGATAAAACAAAGATGATCTGACGCAGCCAGATACGTCTGCCCTTGCTCAATTTGACCTGCTGGTCTTCGTCTTTGACACAGCCGAACACGTAGCCCGTGTTACACACGACCACAAAACCAAACTGGACACCTGCGACCCCGTTCGTCCAGCGGGGCGCTCCCAGCTCTCTCAGCCTCCCAGAGCACCCGCTCACCTCCACGGCCTGGTACTCTGCCGCGTCGCAGGCGGCGGGGGTGTCGCACGGGGCGAAGCTCCAGCTCACGACGGGCGTTGGCCAGCCGGTGACCTCGCAGGCCAGCTCGGCCCTCGCGCCGGCCAGGAAGTACGTCTGCGGCGAGCGCACGTCCACCCGAGGCACGTCTGCCGGCCCGGGCGCCGACGAGTCAGGCGTCGCCGAGGGAGCCCTCCCGCCCTCGCTCAGGCGTCCGAGGGAGTGCGGGAGGCGCGTCGGAAAGCGGCAGCTGCCAAGAGGCGTGCGTGTGCAGCCGGCTGTGGTGTCAACGCCGCGACCGAAGCGCCCCCATGGGGCTGTGCTGGTCGCGGGGTGCGAGGCTCGGGGCACGGGATCCGCCGATGCTTGCAGGCGTGAACACTCGGAGTTCGCCCCCATGAGTAGCCCTCTCTCACATTCCGCACGCTGGTAACTCATCGACGGACTGGGGAGCTGGACTTCCCGCGTGCATAGAAGGCGTAAAGCTGCCTTTTTGGTGTTTTAAGTTATTACGCTGCGAGCCACCGATCTTCACAATACCAGCACCTTCTGACATGTTGCAAGCCATGGAGCCTCGGAGGCGGGCTGGCTTCATCACACGACATCACAACGACTGGGAGAGCAGCTGACCTTGGACGGCGACGTCGAAGGTGAGCGAGTCGGTGGCGTTGCCGTCGGCGGAGGAGGCGACCACGCGGTACTCGCCCGTGTCCTCCAGACCCAGCTCCAGCATCTGCAGGATCGTATGGTCCGGGAACACGGACACCGTCGACTTGAAGGCTGCCGGCGCCGGGGAGAACCGTTACCGACCCGGTCACACAGCTGTTGCGCGGCGCGACGCAAGGGTGCAGCAACGACGCGGGCTTGGTGCCTGGATGAGCCGAGCTCAGCTTCGGCGCGGCGCAAGATGTGTCACCACAGGCTTCGCAACAATGCCGTGATATGTGTCCTAGCCAGCGACCCCTGACTTTGCTGTCCAGCAATTATTGATCGACCGTTCGTGGTAATGACGGCATGGTGGCAACCCTCCGAGGAACTGTTGTTGAACGCCATTTCCAATGCTATGCGTGCGAAACTCCGTCCCGAACAGTTTCAGTCACGTTTTGCGTTCACTAGTTACTGAATGACCGAACGGTCCTAACCGACTTCAACGTTAAACGCAAGCAAGCACACATGCCCTCGTTTGGAACCCAATGACTCTATGCAGGCCATATAATTGTTCAACAGCTTCACAACAGGCAGCGGGCTGCCACAGGCGTCCGCGGAAGTACCGGGGCACCTTTGCTAGCACCATGGTGAAGTCGCGCTCATTGACTCACGCATGTTGACGATTTCCTGTTTGTCGGGGCCGTACCACATGACCTCTGGCGCTGGGTGGGCGTTAATGATAACGACAATCTTGACTGATTCGCCAACCTGAGTCACAAACTTCGTTGTGTCTGTGCGCAGCTCCACTGTTGCGACGGCGTTGTCTGGAAAGACGGCCGCCATTGGACGTCAACGCCCCGTTTGTTCGGTACAGATCATGACCTCAAAATAGAGTGGCGAATCACTTGCTTTTGGACGGTGGTGGCTGGTGTACCTATTTAAGCAGAACGATCAGACACCGATACTAGCACAAGTAAGATCGCACGTAACCCCAGAGTTTCACGCCACTTTCACCCCAGAGCTGCGGCTGTTGCTATTGGGTTTTAAGGACACTTGAACTGCGTTGGTGATAGGGCCCAGCATGTGGACACTCAAGCCTCGGCCCTGCCGTCCCAGTACTGACCGTGAATGGCCACGAACTCCTCACGCAAGTTCTTGTGGCCGTTCTGATCCTGCACGTGGCACGTGTAGTAGCCCTCGTCCTCGACACGCGTGTCGGTGACCACCAGGCGGCGCACGTCCTGGGCACTGAGGCTCGGGTCCCGGGCGCCTGGGATCCGGTCCCCCGGCTTGTCCACCTTCTGGGCCAGCTGCACGATACGGCCCGTCTGTCGACAGATGGCAGCACCGTCGGGTCAACTGGGGGCGACGTCATGAAGATCACCCGACGGACCGAGGAATGAAGGCGTAAATAAAATGGAAAATTACATTGACAGAGGCTTGGAAACTGGGATACCACTACAACAGATGGAATATTTTCGTCTCATAGCTTTTGACCACAGACGAAACGCAGGCAAACAAGATCAGTGTCCTCAACTCCCTTCAACCCCGGAAACATCAACGTACACAATCACACCTCTTAGGACGCACAACTCACAACCGTCCGGCTGGTGTCGCAACGGCCTACAACGAATAACGCGTCTGGGATGACGAAAGGAACACTTTCGGGCACCCCACCGGTTGGCGGCGTTTTACATCCATGACCAATGACAACCAACAAAACGAACATCCAGTCAGGGACAATGAACACAATATCCGGTCATGCACAATGAACGCAATATCCAGCCACGCACGACGAACACAACATCCGGCCACATACAACGAACACAAGATGCAGCCACGCACGATGAACACAACATCCCGCTACGCGCAACGAACACAACATCCAACCACGCACAACGAGCACAACATCCAGCCACGCACAGCGAACACGTCTCGCCGCTCGGTGGCGCTGCCCGCACACTAGCGATGGACACACCCGAAGACCTCCACAACCAATCAACCGAGCGGTGCTGCCGTGACGGTGCAATGGTAGCCGGACCCTGGTACCTTGATGCCGGTGCTGGCGTCGGGTACACTCCAGCTGAGCGTGTGGAACATGCCGGCTTGGTGGTGAACGCGACACTCGAGGCTAAAGTTGCCGCCCAGCACGGCATTCTCCGCGCCCTCCGAGTTGATCCACGGCTGCTGCACTGTGTCCGTGGACGCTGCCGGAGGTCATGACGTCACATATGTGACGGACGCGTCGAAGCAGACAGTCATAACGGCGAGTTTGTCGTTGAAGAGGATGTTCACAGACGAATTGGGGCTACCTTTTCACCAAAAATGGGAAGCAACGGTTCAAGCAGCCTGCGTGCCCTATACCATTAACGTGAATTCTACAGTTCCAACAGGCGGGACCCCAAATCCTCACCTAACCCACCTTCCAGGAATCCAGTTTGGACTACCTAGATCAGCGGAAAGACTCCCATTTGTCCAACATGGCGACGCCCCGGTGCTCGCCATTGTCACAAAGTTATCCGCGAACCAAAGTGTGTCTGAGTTCAAGCGAGTTAATGCCATGATGTCCTACCGACCGGCCCGGCGTTGCAACACCGCCTCTGACTTGTCGCGGGGAGTGCATCCACATCGCCACCCCGAGAAAACCATCCCTGAAACCGTGCGCCGGAACAGTCGGGATCCTGCTGCATGCGGATCCAGTCACGAGCACCAGCACCACGGGCGCCGAGCGCGGCGCCGCCCCGCCGCCGACTCACGAGCATCAGCACCACAGGCGCCGAGCGCGGGCGCCGCCCGCCGCCACCGACTTACGATTGAACCGCGTGAAGATGCGCAGCTCGTCCCTGGCGCCGGCCCGCTCCGCCTGGCACAGGAAGTCGCCGTTGTGGTACGTCAGCACCGGCGAGTAGATGACGAAGCCCTCCGTGTTGCGGTAGATCATAGAGCGCGACGCCAGGTCCTGGATCTGGGGGCGGAGCAGGCGCGCGCGCGTCAGACTAGCTGCTGGTGCTGCCGGCTGGTAAGCGGCACCTCGCAGTTGTGGCTGGGCTATTCGCGTTTATTCGTTATTGCGCACATCACTGCTGCGAGCACAGTGCGCTCCGAGATGGTAAAAAAAAAGAATGGTGTGGGAGCCAATAAGCCTGGACGGTGCGCGCGACAGAGCGCTACACTGCTAGCTGACCTTCTTGCCGTCCTTGAACAGGATGACCTTGACGTCCGGATGGCTGGGTCGACACGGCAGGACTGACTCCATGTTTTGTGTCACCGTCAGGAACTGGAGATTCGACGTCTTCACCAGCAGGTGCTTCGGGTCTGCAAACGCAGACCTCTCATGACGACGGGTGGCAAAGTTGTCAGCGGTTCCCTAGCCGCTCCACAAATGGATGAAGCTCGTGCGACATGAGCGCACGATAAGGATCTGTGACAGTGAGGGGTGTTGCGACCTCATTCTCATGTTAACCCGTCGGTCTAACGTCATGTTAGCGATGCAGTGAACCACAGCCGAGACACGTCTGGCTATTTGGCGATTAGCTGCGGGACTGGCGATTTTTAGCCTTCAATTCATCCGAAGAGATGATACATGTGGCGATGTCGGCACATTCATGCAGTGCTATCCATAAATGCACGAGCGTTATTTGGAACACATGATGACCTTACAGCGTACTGCGATCTTTGGGGTATACGTTCTCACATGCCTTAAGCAGACCCTGTTTCGAATAGTTTCGAAAACTGACGCCACATCTTGCCGTGAACGGATCAGCACTATATGCATCTAATGTTCACATTTTTGGCATACTCAATCAATCATTAGCTCTTTGGGAAATATACGTGACAATTCAATCCTCTAAGCAAATTCGACCCTTGAAGTGGTACTGGCAAATAGTACTGATGTCTGAAACGTGGCGCAAGCGACGGAAGGCAAAACATCCAAAAATTCAGTGGCACACAAACGCGAGGCCTTATTTAACGGGCCAACTTCAACGGGATACAAGAAAATGAAGTCAAATTACCATGAAAATCACCCAATGCACTGCAAATGGGTCAACGTATCTCCCAACTACCACACTCAAGGCGTAAAATCATCTCCGTACCATCAACGAAGAGGTAGACACGCGTAACGTTCTGTACCACGTCCAGGTCTTCGGTGCCCACGAAGGAACAGCTCTGGTAGCCCACGTCCAGGAACGTGACATCGCGAATCTGAAGACAGGTATCGACTATGGGTATGACACCAGCCGCAACGGAGCCGACAGAGAGCAGCCACCTATCGCCTGTCAACTGTGACCTGTCATCAGTCACAAGTCAGCTGCCACCTGTCACCCGTCATCAGTCACACGTCAGCTGCCACCTGCCACCCATTATCAGTCACACGTCAGCCGTTACCTGTCATCATTTACACGTTTGTTGTCACCTGCCACCTGCCATTAGTCATACTTAAGCCGTCACCTGCCACCAGTTACGCGTCAGCCGTCATCTGTCACCAGTCACACATCAGCCATCACCTGTCATCAGTCACACATCAGCTGTCACCTGCCACCAGTTACGCGTCAGCCGTCATCTGTCACCAGTCACACATCAGCCATCACCTGTCATCAGTCATACGTCAGCCGTCACCTGTCATCAGTCACACGTCAGCCGCCACCTGTCATCAGTCACACGCCAGCCGTCACCTGTCATCAGTCACACGTCAGCCGTCACCTGTCATCAGTCACACGCCAGCCATCACCTGTCATCAGTCACACGTCAGCCGTCACCTGTCACCAGTCACACATCAGCCATCACCTGTCATCAGTCACACGCCAGCCGTCACCTGGAGTGAGTGAGCATTCATACGTCGGCCGCCACGTACCGGTGATCTTTAACAATCATCTTATCATGAGTCATGTACAATCACTGCTGCATGGCAGTTACATGCATCATGACGACAGTCAAGTCGTTTGCTGCATGTTTGGGGCTCCCTGTCCCAAAACGTGAGTCAACAACCACATTGAGAAGGCATTGTTCCCGAGCCACAGCCAGACAAAAGCTGAGTAAGATCCTCTGCTGATATCACCATAAAACCAGCGTCAGCGCCACCGCGGACGCTGTAAATAAACGTGGCGCGGTAATCACGCGACCCTGAATGTCAACAGGCCGGCATGGCCGCTCACGAGCTCGGGACACTTGTCTCCAGCACCGCATGCCCGCTCACGTGGCTGGACTGCGGGCCTGCTGAAGCCAAGCCCTCGAGATATACTCGTGCACGTGGTGCAGCGTGTTTCCGCCTGCACAAATGCAAACAGCAAACAGCTGAGCAGCAGATTGCATCTGGGTCTATGCGACTGAATGAGACTTCGTTATCGGGGGTCGTCCATGAATTACAATGCGCATCGAGGGGACGGGTTTTGAAAAAGTGTAGCCAAAGCCTGGGGAGGTGGAGTAGCGTAAGACTGCGCTGAGAATCAGTTTTTGATAAACAGCAGGCTGGGTCCGTTGGCTTTCCCCCATGACCAGCACCCAGTCTCCGTCTCGCAACCGCTAGCTCGATTAACGGCCAAACGGATGTTTTT